TGTTGAGGTAATATCATCCCCAGTTGAAGTAGCCTGCTTCAGGTTGCGTAGATGGTTATGATGCGCCAGACGTACTTCACATTCGACGTGTCTTTCCCACTTCAGCTTGTGTACCGTTCTGATCCACTGGGCTAGCGTTTCCGGTTCCTCCTCCTCCTCCGCATCCTCCCATTTCTCCCCTTCAGTGTCTTCTCCTGTGTCTTCTCCTGAGTCCTCTCCCGAGTCCTGTGACATTCTAACATCTTCCCCGCTATCCATATCTCCTTTTGAGTCATTCGGTGGATCTGCCATTACGTTTTTCCCGCTGTCCATCCGTGCTCTGCCTGATGGGCTGTTACCTGCTGATGGTGAACTTGGGCGTGTATGTTGGTCCGAAGAAGAAGATGACGAATCCTCTGCCTCCGATGGAATTATGTCTATCCCCTCACTCTGTGCCTTGGCCTCCCCTTGCCCCTCTTCTCTCGTGTCTGATCCATGGACTTGGCTTTGCGACACTGAAGCTTCCTCTTCCCTCTTGCCCGTATGAGATCTTTTTGTGTCGTGACTCGCAATACCCCCCGTAGAAGTTTCTCTGTCACTCATCTTCCTTTTGAATGCCCCCTGTGAATCTCCCTCCTCTCTTGCCTTGCTGATCCTTGTCTCTCTTGTCCCCTCCCCGCGCAGTCCCTCACTTTGACTCGAGGTTTTGTTGCCCTCCACTTCTTTTTCTTCCTCTCTCCCCTTGCCCACCTCCGCTGATTTCTCAGCCTCCTCCCTCGCTCTTTTATTCTCTAAGAAGGCCATTTCAGCTTCTTGCCCCAGCTTATGCAGTTCGGCCATGGTCTGCAAACGCTGTTTGTCATCCAGTACTGTGTCCTTGTCTATCATCGGTTTGTGAATGTAGCCCACATCTTTGTCCTCCATACGCTTTGCCCCTGCTAGTCTCCAGCGGCTGTCGTAAGGTGGGTAGATGTCTGGCTTCAACGTGGGTGTACCGCTCAGGACCCATATCCATCTTGGCGTCTCCAGATTGTCGTTGAAGATCCAACCTCTGTATTGTGCTGAGTTTATGTACCAAACCCCTGGCTTGTTGTCTACCTCGACTAACATTGATTGTTTTAGTTGTGGTTGCCTCCCCCCCGAACCTGCGTTCGAACCAGTACTTGATTGCGGACAATGCATTCCCAAGTGTCCCCTTGCTCTGCACTTGAAACAGAATGGATTGGATTTAGAGGATATGAACACCGTGATGCGCTCCGTCCTTCTTCTGAAGATCCATACCTCGGGGAATTTCGGCGGCACCCCGGATTTCACTTCCAAGCATGCTACCCTGGAATCGTGGTTTGGAGCCAGAAAGTCGGGATTTGCCGGGAGCCACTCTATGATGGGGTTGTTTGGGTATTCTTCCTTCAGGCACTGCTGCACGAGGCTGTGCATCGCTTCTGAGAGGTTGTCAAACTGCACCCATAAGTTGTCCCTCATCATTGACTGCCTGTGCCTTGAAGCCTCCGCTGGTGGCGGCTGAGGTGGTTTCCATGCTTGGATCGTCACCACCGACCCGTGGGACCTGAGGGAACCCAACGACCGCAGGTATTGAGCGTACGCCGGATCCACGCAGACTATCATGACCGTGAATCTTCCCCGCTTGTGATATGAAACTTCTGGTTCAATCCCTGGAATGTTCTCTAGGCCCCTGAGTCTCTCCATTACCCATTTCCTTTTTTCGCTCAATGACAGCTCACGATTCTTGCCCAAGAAGTTGAATAGCACTGCGTGCCTTTCGTAGAGTTCATGAAGCGTCTGCAGATCTTGCTCCGGGTATTCCCAGGCGTCGACCTCCTCTTCCTTACCCTCCTGCCCCTTAATGACTTCCTTTGTAGTTTTAATTGGGGCTGTAATTTTCGTCTTTTCCATGATAAAGTCCAATGCTCTTTGTCCCAGGGCTTTCGATTGTGTGAGCCTGATGCCCGACGTGGCTGAATTCTGGGATTCTATCCTGTTTCC